GGTTGGCACAAGGAGGTGGCATCTTGGGCAGTCATCTGAAGACCAGGCATAGTGATGCCACAACTCCCTCTGTTTCCTTTGTTTGTTTGTTTTACACCTGTTTTGTTTCAAGCAACTCTGCTCTGGGCCTGAGCCCTCACCATCCCTTGTACCCCTATTGACCTCACACTCCTGTAACTAAATCTTTGCATTACCAGAGGAGCTATGCCCTCTCGTCTTCCATAGTCTTAGACTCAGATAGGACGTTAAACCAATCAATCAATCAATCAATCAATCAATCAGAGAATAGCTCAGTATCTAGCCTGCAGCTTCGTTCTTGTCAATCTTGAGCCAATGTCAACCGCAGCTCCTCATGAACCGTATAAGCGCACCTACTTTGACCAGTTCGGGCACAAGTGACCAGGTATCCATCGTGTCTTCGCAAAGACCACTCATCGGTTCGAAAAGCAGCTCATCAACAAATACTGTTGATGCCCCAAGGTGGTCTAGACTCCAGAAGCTGAATTCCTTCGCCAAGAAAGAAACACCAGAAGAGAAGCAGACAAGGCTCGCAGAAGAAAAAAGAGTAGGAGCTGATCGAGAAGTATTGATACGAAGCTCAAGCTCAACCGGAGGGCATAGGCGGAATAGGAAGACCAAAAGGTGCAAAGAGAGGGTCGAGTGTCCTGGCTGCTGCAGCCTTCGCAGCTAGTGGAGGTAGTAGAGCAGGAGGGTAGCGGTGCGGTTGCTTGACCGACGGAAAACTCAGCGGTCGACCTGTAGCTATCTCGATTGAACGTGAGTTGATGATTCAGCGCCTGTTGTTTGTGGTACTTGCTCCCGCTGCCCACACATCTGTCAGACCCTGCTTCAACAAGCCGACAATACCCATTGTATACCCCTCATCGCCCTTCTCTCCGTCAACAAGACCGTGGTTTTGGCCATTACAATGACACACGGTGAGTACACAATGTACAGTCGTAAGGGTAATAGTTGTACTGCATCGTGAATTCCGTAAGAACTCCGCAATGGCGCCTTCCTGTTCAGGCTAGTGGCGCGTACCTTCGGCCGGGGTCCAGCATCAAACGCGCCCTGGGTACACTCCACTCTCGACATATCCTTCTCAATGCCGTCACTACGCTTATATTCGCTTACTCGCCTGTTCAGTACGTGGTCGTGTCCACATACTGTGCGATTGACCTCACACATCTTCAGCAACACCTCGCCGAGCGGCTGAACGGAGCTCCGTTGCCTCCTTCACCCGCCTTACCACCACACCCAGCCGCCAGCTTCATACGTCGACAACACGCTTCGCCATGTCAGAGTTCGCCCAGTATACTGCCAAGAGCAAGGCTCCTATAACAAATGGTGACAAGCCAATTGGCACCGCATGGGGCAACGAGCGCAACCCCGCCGCCTTCGACTTCCGCTCCGATGTGCACACCACACCAACCCTGTCTATGCTGAAGGCGATCCAAGAATGCACGCTCCTCGACGATGTATCCATGGAAGACCCGACAACGCTCGGCCTTGAGAAGTTCATAGCCGAGCTGACAGGCAAGGAAGACGCCCTCCTCGTCCTCTCCGGTAGCATGGGCAACCAAGTAGCCCTGCGCTCCCACCTCACCGCCCCGCCTCAAGCCATTGTATGCGACCGCCGCTCCCACATCATCCAGTACGAAGCAGGTGGTGTTGCCTCTCTCTCGCAGGCCCTCACACAACCTATCGATGCGAAGAACGAGACGTACATAACACTCGAGGAAGTGCAGAAGTACGCCGTCATTAGCGATGATGTTCATGCCTGCCCGACCCGCGTCATCTCTCTCGAAAACACACTCAATGGCGCCATCATGCCGCTCTCCGAAGTCCGCCGCATTGCCGCCTGGGGCCGCGAGAACGGCATTATAATGCACATGGACGGTGCGCGCTTGTGGGAAGCAGTAGCCGCCGGTGCAGGCACACTCAAGGAGTTCTGCGCAGAGATGGACAGTCTGAGTTTGTGCTTCAGCAAAGGTCTTGGAGCGCCGATTGGCAGCATCATCGTTGGCACGAAGCAGTTCATCAAGCGGAGTCGCTGGATCCGCAAGTCTATTGGTGGCGGATTGCGCCAGGCAGGTGTGGTAGCAGCGCCAGCGCGTGTCGCCGTTGAAGAGACCTTCCTCGGCGGCCGCCTCACAGAGTCCCACGAGAAGGCCAAGCGGATACAGAAGATTTGGACAGACCTCGGCGGCAAGCTGGACTACCCCGTTGATTCGAATATGGTCTGGTTGAACCTCGAAGCGCACAACATCGACGTCAACCACTTCATTGAGACTGGAGAGAAGTACGGTGTGCGCACAAGAGGAGGGCGCTTTGTGGTGCACTACCAGATCAGCGAGGAGTGTATTGATGCTTGTCGCAAATTCTTTACAGAAGCCTTGACAGGTAAGGAAGGAGAGGGCAAGAAGGACGAGGCACCGCATGACCCAGAAGAACTGAAGATGAAAGGTAAGGGCGTGGAGTAGCAGTCTACCGCACTAGACAATATAATTCGAGAAAACGATCAAAACATATCTGTGGTCCAATGATCTGATGACGGGAGATAGGGCGCACTGGGGTTTGGCTCCTATGAGTTACGAGGGAAAATGATCAAAGTGAATTTAACTACCCGATTTGGATATTGTCCCCGAGTGATGGTCAAATAAGACAATAGTCAAAGTTTGCATGTGACAGATAATCTGAATCGATTCGTGGTCATAACTTCGTAGCAGTCTATGTCTAGATATGTGAATCTTTACTCTAGCTTATCATCCTCGCCGTGGAAGAAGCGCAGTACTGCCTTCGCGACGACTAACCCGTCGTGGATCCAGTCCGCCCGCTCTGCAGCCTCATCGGCGTCGTCCTTCTCGACACTTCCTGCGTCGACGCGCATCTCCAGCTGCCTCTTCACATATCGCTCATTGAACTCCATATGCCCCTGGCTCGTGAAGAGTCGCTTCTGAATGTAGACACCTTGTACCTCAGTGTGATCCGATGTTCCCCAGACGTGTACCTTTGTGCCCTTCTCTAACAAATCCGTTGTTTCGGTACTTGGTGCGTTGACGACGTGATCGACGTGCATCTGGTGCAGACGGATTTTGGAGTCGTCAGTCCTGAAGAGCTGCCTGCCGACATCAGAAAGATCGAGTTCGGTGTGTGAGAGCTCCCATTCGCCGTTGGGTTTGGGCTCGACCTTTGAGCCGAGAGCACGGCAGAGGATTTGGTGCCCGAAGCAGATTCCTGTGAATTTGATGTCGGGGCGGTTTTTCCAGATGTCTGTGAAATCCGTTCAGCGTCATTCTGCTCATATGCGTGCTATGGTGAGGTACTCACACTTGATGAAGTCCATGAGCTTGTGAATCCACTCGTCATCACCGTGAGCGTCCCACTCGCTTCCTGTGATAAGAATTGCATGCAGGTCCTCTGGGATATCTTTTGGGCCTGGTACTTCGCCGCCCTCAGGCTCGACGATGTACTGCATCATAGTTTCGATGCCAAGCTGGGGGTCATGGTCGTCGCCGGCATTTATGAACAGGTTGTTGAAGACTTCGCCGAAGCCCCCAATCTCTTTTTGTGTGTCCGCATGTGTCTCGTCGGTTTCAAGAACCAGCATGCGCACCTTGTCTTCATGCTTGGAGACGGTCTGAACAGCTGGTAGAGGACCCATGATGCGGTTTGGAGTGTAGAGTTGACGTGTATTAACAAAAGAAGAGAGCTTGAGTATATTAGAGAATCTAACGGCGGTGAAATTCGTGAGCGAAGTTACAGTCTTGAAGGTTGTAGCAGTCGTAGGAAGTTAGGAAGAGAAGCAGAAAGTTTGTTGTAGACCCAGATTTCGAAAGATGACGCGCGCTGGCGTGCAAATATTCCGTATAGTTAGCTAGCCAAGACTGAGGGTGTTGTCAACTATTCTTCAATTGGAGCTCCGCGCAGCGAAAATGCAGCCTGCACCTGCAGCCCAGAAGAGCCTCATCCATAGCTTCAGCCTCCGCGCTTGGCATCTTGCGTTTTGCTGTGAACGGATAGCAATGACGCATGGTGTAGCTGTGTTTCAAGAAGGTGAGCCAAAGGCGAGCGATGTCGATGAAGGGAACAGAGGGTCCATTACGTTATGGTGCACTCTTGGAAAGCTTGTCGAGAGCTAGAATCTGCTAGGGCCGTTCCGATTCCGAGGCCAGCGGAGCGGAGAGGTCGACGTTGGAACGAGCACATTTTGGTACAACGATCGTGAGACTGATGTTCATAGTTGTGGAGTTGAACTGAGTCATGTGAGACCGGCGTGGAGCCGTTCGTGCTGTCAAGAAGCTGGAGAAGTGGATGTTGCGTTCCCATTTTGAGAGGAGGAGCTATGACGTCGTTCGAGGCAGCTTCGATGGTGGCTGCTTCTTCGTCGAGGCAAGAGTCACACATTGCCGCCCTAAATCTACTCTCAAAAAGTAACATCTGTACGGGTCCTGTCGATTTCTCCAAGAGGGGGTGTATCTCGTGAGGTGGGAGACAGCCGCGGTGGCTTACTTCGTCAAAGTGGTAGACTATGCCATGATCGATATGAAGCAGCGGGCGCTGGGAGGTTATGAGTGTCTATGATCAACAGTCTGGTATGTGTAGAGTTTGATAGCCAGACAAGACAGCGAGGAAAGCTTACCTGGACGTCAAGCCGCTGAAACTGTGTTAACGAGCAAGGCATCTCGGAAGTCGGTTTAGGACATGCCGATCTCGCACGGTGATAAAACTTATTCCCGGATAACGGCCTGCACCTTCCTTTTCCACATCTTCTGCTGTTGCACCTCGCTGGCGCAAGGTTGCTCCTTCTTCAAGTCTTTCGTACGATCTCTGTACCTGATTCGCCTTTAGAGACAGTCAGATGCTCGACGGCGCTGGAAAGCGGTTGCATTATTGACAAATCGCTGCAACAATCCCCGGGTATTTATCCTTGTGGTGCAAGCGCACCTGCTACGAGACACGCATCTCCACTTTCCGGCACTAGCTCTGCACTTTGGTAGGCTACAGGGTCTTTTTAAAGATGCACATGCCCCAGCAGTTCGAGATGCAGAGCCGTGTCGTCTGTCATCTCATCTTCGACCCTGCCATAGGTCGCACGACCACCCCTCCTCCCATGGACCGCAAACATCATGAGCGAATCTAGAGCAATGTCAGTGTCCGAGGATAAGAAAGAGGTGGAGCGGGAAAGAGACACTTCACGAGAGTTGGATATCGAGAAGAGAGGACCGCAAGAGACACTGCAACGGCAGGTCTCAGGACCGCCATACTCGGTGTTTAGCTCAAGAATGAAGACATGGATCATCTTTCTCGTCTCCATTTCGGCTTTGATCTCGCCATTTGGCGCAACTACAGTGCTCCCTGCGCTTAATGTTCTTACCGACGTACTGGGCATTACACCTACCAAAGCTAACATATCGATCACCACCTACATGGTAAGCTTGACATTCAATGAGAGTGTGTACGAAGCTGACTTGTTAGATCGCACAAGCAATCGCTCCAGCCATCATTGGTGCTATGTCAGATACTAGTGGCCGAAGACTATCTTTCATTCTTTGCTACGTCATTTATATTGTTGCCAACATTGGGCTCGCCCTTCAGACTAATTATGTGGCGCTTCTCATCCTGCGTATGGTGCAAGCGGTTGGATGCAGTGCTGCCATTGCTCTGGCTTTTGCTATCGTGTCAGACATATCGACTTCTGCTGAGCGAGGAAAGTTCATGGGTTATGCCGGTGCAGGGATCTTGTGTGGCCCGGCGTTTGGCCCAACCATAGGAGGTATTCTGGCGCAGTACCTGGGATGGCGATCCATTTTCTGGTTCCTCGCAATTTTCTCTGGTGTACTGCTCGTTGTATTCGCATTTCTCTTCCCTGAGACTTGCAGAAATGTGGTCGGCAATGGATCCATACCAGTAAGAGGCATCAACCACTCGGTCATCAGTTTCATCCAACAGCGCAAACTCGCCAAGCAGTCAGCTCTCGCCGAAGACGATCACGAAACTGATGCGGCTACTAAGCCAGCAAAACGCAAGATCTCACTGAACCCGCTCGCAACCCTTCGTATCCTCGGCGAGAAAGAGTCCTGCATCATTCTCCTGTATAACGGCTTCTTCTTCACAGGCATGATGGTCACCACATCCTCCATTCCAGATCTGTTCAAGCAAGCGTACAATCTTAATGAACTCGACTTAGGACTATGCTACATCGCAAATGGCATTGGTTCACTCATCTCTTCCTTGACTATGGGTCACGTCGTCGACTGGAACTTCAAACGCCATGCTGCACGGTTGAACATGCCCATCTCTAAGGGCAAGCAGCAGGATCTGAGCAATTTTCCAATAGAGAGAGTAAAGCTTGAGATTGTCCTACCGGGACACGTAATTGGCATACTGGGTTTGATCATGTTTGGATGGACAGTCAAATTCCAAACTCATCTAGCTGGACCGGAGGTCGCCCTGTTCATAACTGGCTTTGGCATATCGACTGCATTCAACATCACGAACGGACTGCTCATCGACCTTCACCGCGATAAGCCTGCCGCAGCGACTGCAGCGATCAACTTCGTCAGATGTCTGATGAGTGCAGCAGGGTCGGCAGCAATCATTCCGATGTGCAGAGCCATGGACCCAGGTTGGGCATTTACGTTCATTGGGTTGGTGTATGTTGTTTTGATTTGGGTAGTAGTTTGGATAATGAAGAACGGACTGAAGTGGAGGCAGAAGGCTGCGGACGTGATGAGTCTCGATGATTGATTGATTCAATGATTCAACATACTATGTGAGTCTAAGCCTATGGGAGAATAGAGAAGCTTTTGCTCCCCAGGTAATGCAAAATGTATTTACAGGAGGTTGAGATCAATGAAGAAACTGATTGATTGATTGATTGATTGATTGGTTTAACGTCCTATCTGAGTCTAAGACTATGGAAGACGAGAGGAGCAGTAGCTCCTCTGGTAATGCAAAGATTTAGTTACATGAGAGTGAG